TTGGGAGAGCATTCTTACTGATCACCAGTGTCCATACTTCATCCATCCCCGAGATTTCCATCGTTCCATCTGGTCCCCAGTCAGAGGTCCAGACAGTTCATCTGGGATGCAGAGAGATTTCTTGTTCCCATTTGCATAACCCTCTCAGTCCTAAGGTTCTCTCTGCCACTTCTGGGCCATATGTGGAGAACTGTGAAGTTGTCTGAGGCCTTGACTATGCAGACACGCCTTGAAGCCATTTCTGTTCTGGGTTTTCACAAGGCATGAGTTGCTGCATCTTTTAAAACCTGCAAATCTATCTTGGCCTGGGATGTGGGGCTCAGGGACCCTCCCTTTTGGTACCCTCTGTGTCAGTATTCTCACTACATTCTCTCCCCTTCTCTCTTCTTTCTCCCTTTTGTTAATATTGGAGGTGAGGAAGCCTTACTTAATGTTTTCTCCTGAATCTTTTTTTTTTTTTTTTGAGACAGAGATTTTGCTCTTATTGCCCAGGCTGGAGTGCAATGGCCCGATCTCAGCTCACTGCAACCTCTGCCTTCCGGGTTCAAGCGATTCTCCTGCCTCAGCCTCCCGAGTAGCTGGGATTAGAGGTATGCGCCACCATGCTCAGCTAATTTTTGTATTTTTAGTAGAGATGGGGTTTCTCCATGTTGGTCAGGCTGCTCTCGAACTCCTGACCTCAGGTGATCCTCCTGCCTCAGCCTCCCAAAGTGCCGGGATTACAGTCGTGAGCCATTGCGCCCGGCCTAGCCCGAATATTTTATTTATGCCTTAAGCCTTTTCTGTTCCCTTCAGGACCTAGGCTTTTGAACCCCAAAAGCCAGGCAAACATGCCTTTGTTATCTGCTTTCTGCAATCACATCTCTTCCATGGGGCACTGAGCAGAGAATGGTGTGGCCAAGTAAGTAGTGAGAAGCAGTGAGGGAATATGAGCTACGTGTCTGTTCCTATTTTAGAAAATACTGTTCCTACATCAGAAATACCACATTAAGATGTATAGAGCCACGTCACTGGGATGCTTGAACCCATATAGCTGGGATTCTGGACGGAGTCGGCAGAGTACAGAAAGCTCTGAAGTGGGAGATGGAGCTGGGGTGCATCCCACCCAGTGAGGGGGGGTCATAAGGGGCATCCTGGAAGAGGGACATTTGAACTAGGATTAACTGAGTTGCCATGATGCCAAGATAATGGGAGAGTGTTCTTTGTGGTCACCAGTGTCCATATGGCATCCCTCCCCTGAGATTTTCATCATTCCATGTGGTCTTCAGTCAGTAAAGCTCTTAGAACACTTGTATAGTGCCTAGTCTGGTATGTGATGTGGTCCAACATATGTTAGCTTAAGGTCACCAAGTGTTTGGACATGGAGAGGGAACAGCAAGAGGGCATGCAGAGGCAGGAAAGACTGATATTTACTCTGGGCACTGAATAGTTCAGTGTGCCTGGGCCGGTGCACGTGCGCATGCTTTTGTGTGTGGAGTGGGATAGTGGAGGTAAGCAGCCAATGGTGTGGTTGGATAGGTAAGTGGAGGTTGGGTCTTTAGTCTATGGGAAATGAGGAGCCACTGGAGAGATTTAAGCAGGAGAGTAACATGATCAGATTGGAGTTTTGATGGCTGGGGCAGAGGATGGACTTTGGGAGACCTTGGAGGACAAAGTACAGTGACACAGCTATTGGAACATTTGAGAGAGAAATGGTGAAGCCTTCTTAACGCAATGTCGGTGGAAAGGAAGGGACTCTTTAGGACTTGGTGACTGGATGTGTGGGGCGGTGAGGTATGAGAGAGCCTAGGATGATGGTAATATTCTGATTGGGGGTGGTGGTGCCATTCCCTGAGATGGTGACACCACTTTGGGTCGGGGGACGATGAGCTCCACTATGGACAGTTTGAGGTGCATGTGGGATTCCCGGAGGGAAAGGGGCCAGCAATAGGACAGTGCTGGACGTAGCTGCTGAACCAGGCCTGTCTCCAGGCTTCCAAAATGGGGATCCTTGGTTGTCTCCTGACCTGTCTCAGTGGGAGAGATCCCAAGATTCAAACAGCCCTTCCTTGCCTTGAATACAGGGCTGTGGCTGGCAGATATTGCTGCACCCTTGCACGTATCTGTACATACGACTGGACTGAGACTTCTGAGCACCTGCAGCTGCCTGGGGCATGTTCAGCAGCACAGGGCTCAATCCCCACAGGGTGATGTTCTGAAGGCTTCTGAGTGATGATTCAGTCCCGCAACCCTTCCACAGGGAACGTGCTGTGGGAGCTACAGAGATGAGCCAGACCCGACTGAATCCTGCCCTGAAGGAGCTCACACGGTGGTGAAGTGTCATGAATGCGAGTTAGATGGGACAAGTGTGAAGTGGAAGATCTGACAAAGTGCTGTAGGATGTAAAGAGAACGATCTTAAAGTGCAATGGAAAAGGATGCATGAAAGAGATGATGTCTAACCTGGCTTTGAAAACTAATCCCAGGTATCATCAGAGAACAGCACAATACGTGCAAGGGTACAAAGACATGGGGGTGCGGCAGTACAGATAGTGTAGCGAGCGGACAGCCATGTGAAGGGTCTAGTGAAAAATCAGGCTGAAGAAGCAGGTGGGGGCAGATTCTGGAGGGCCTTGAGGACTCAACTGAAGAATTTAGACTTAATGGTAATGGGAGCTGTCAAAAGTCCTTGATCAGAAAAGTGATGAATCAATCTGGGTTTGACCAAAGTAACAGAACCACTATGAGTGATAAAAACACGAGAACTTTACAGTCATGGGAACAGTTGGAGAAATCTGTGCAAAACTGTTAACCTCTGCATTTGGTGTTGGACCTGAAGCTGTTACAGCTCAGCTGGGCCAGCAGTTAGGAAAGAAGGCTGAGTGTGAAGTGAGGGGCAGTAAGGGCACACTAGAATCCAGGAGGACAAACTGGAACCTGTGCCTGGCCCTTGTGCCTTCAATCTCAGTGACTGGTGACCTGCAGGAGAAGCTGGCACCTTTGCCATGGAGCTTGCACTTGGTCCAGCACTCAGCACAGTGGAAGGAAGTGTCCTGGTGGGGACTGGACAGGCTGTGCTAACGGGGAGCCAGCAGATTAGCGACATGTGAGTGCCCTCACTGTGTCTGGTGCTGTTCCATTTTTTCTTTCTTTCTTTCTTTTTTTTTTTTTTTGAGACGGAGTCTTGCTCTGTCACCCAGGCTGGAGTGCAGTGGCGGCATCTCAGCTCACTGCAGCCTGCACCTCCCAAGTTCAGGCAATCCTGCGTAGTAGCTGGGACTACAGGTGCACCACCACACCTGGCTAATTTTTTGTATTTTTAGTAGAGGCAGGGTTTCATCATGTTGCTCAGGCTGGTCTCGAACTCCTGGCCTCAGGTGATCCGCCCACCTCGGTCTCCCAAAGTGCTGGGATTACAGGCATGAGCCACCACAGCTGGCCCACTTTTGCCTTCCAAATCTCATGCAAACTTCTCTGTGGCTAACACTAACCCAGACCCTCTAACCTAGTTTGGTTGACTCAGTATAAAGCTACCACAAGTGAGCTAACCAGAGCTTTCTTGGGATGATTAACCTGGCAGCAACCTGTGAAGGATAGATGGTCAGGATAAAGAAAACCAAACCTCCAATAGCTCTTGGGTTGACACTGTCAGCTGGTGTGGTAGTCATTAGGCCATTCACAAATCTCTCTGTCCCTCTCTTTTGCCGTCCAGACACGATAGCGTGCTTCTCCCCCTTCACAATAGGTGTGGTCCTGTGCCTTCCTGTTGCCATTGTGTTGGCCACTGAAATGTAGGTGGAGGCAACACACCCACTTCTGAGTAGAAGCTTTAAGAGTCTGTGCAGGCTTTGTTACTTTCCCTTTTCCTTTTGTCATGGTGACCAGCAATGTTCCCAATGGTAGCTGCTTTGTCATCCGGAGTCTCAGAGGGGTGAAGACCATGATGTGGAGCAGAAGCCCCACCAGCCTCTGGTGGACCTGCAGCAGGAGCAAGAAACAAACCTTAATGGCTTTAAGCCTCTGAAGGTTTGAGGTCATGACCACAGCACAACCTAGCCTGTGCCGGCTGACAGGGGCAGAGGGCAGCAGTAGCAGTGGGATGCTTTCCTGGAGAGCAGACCTCCTCTCAGCAGAGCTAGGACAGCAGTTTTCACCTCTGCGTTCCTCAGGCTGTAGATGATGGGGTTCAGTGAGAGCGTCACAACCCCATAGAACAATGTGACAATCTTATCCATGTTGGGGTCCTTGGCCTTGGGTTTGAAGTACATGAAGGAGATTGTCCCATAAAAAACCACCACCATTGTGAGGTGGGCTGAGCAGGTGGAGAAGGCTTTGTGCCGGCCTGCAGCAGAGGGTACCCTAAGGATGGCGACCAGGATGAAAAGGTAAGACAGGCAGATGAGCAAGAGGGGGGCCAGTGTCAGGACAGCTGTGGCCACCATTAATGCCAGCACATTGAGGGAGATGTCCCCACAGGCCAGTTTTAGCACTGCCAAGATCTCACAGAAGAAGTGGTTGATGACGTTGTGGCCACAGAAGGGGAGGCGCCAGACAAGGATGGACTGTAGCAGTGAGTTGGCAAAGCCTGTCCCCCAGCTCAGCACTGCCATCCGCATGCAGGTCTGCCCACTCATGAGCTCTGGGTACCTAAGCGGCTGGCAGATAGCCACATAATGGTCATATGCCATCACAGCCAGCAGCAGGCACTCTGTTGATCCCAGCGCCAGGGTCAGGTACATCTGCAGGGCACAGCCAGGGAAGGAGATAGTCCTCTGGGTTTCCAGGAAGTTGACTAGCATGAGAGGCACAAAGGAGGAGGTGCCGCAGATGTCCATGAGGGAGAGGTTGCTGAGAAAGAAGTACATGGGGTTGTGCAGGTGAGGGTGCAGCACATTCAGCCCTATGAGGAGGGCATTCCCCAGCACATTCATGGAGTCGATGCCCAGGCAGAACACAGACAGGAGCACCTCCAGGTTACAGTGCTTGTGTGTCCCTAGCAGGACGTATTCTGTCACAGCTGTCTGGTTTGCCCCCTTCATCTCATTCTCTCTCCTTTTCCATCTGGACCACCCAGCTTTTTGGAAAAAGCTGCAAGTGGCCTGGGAGCCCAGTGACCTGATGTCTGAGCTGCAGCAGGTCAGCCTCCCTCTCTGTAATTTAGTTTCACCATCTGTATAATGAGGGAGTTGGACTTCAGATCTGCATTCTGGCCTTCTCAGTGCTGCGGTTCTGCGGACATCACTGAGGGGAGGATGGGGCACATTCTAGTTCCCTAGGTTCCTCTCTGCTCTCCCCAGGATGGGGTCAGAGGAGACAACAGAGAAGGATTCATGTTTAAAATGATCCTTTGGAATCCAAAGTGTTTTTGGCCATTAACGGGAAGCAACTTTTCTACATTACGGCTTCATATGACCAAGTTATGGCCATAGAATTTCAGATTTATCCATCCAGTAAATATTAAGTACCTATTCTATGCTAGGTATCAGGTGCTGGGGCTATAGCAGTAAGGAAAATAAGTGGACAAAAGGATTCCACACCTGTCACAGGCGCTGCCCCACTCCCTGAGTCAAGTGAGATGAGCTCCGGAAGGCAGGTGGGTAATGGATGACGCTCACCTAGTGTTCCTTTGGGCCATGAAGATCAAATATTTCAGCCCCACAGGATGTGTAAGCTTGATTTCTGGTCATCTCTCCTTAAGGAATCATGGACCATTCATTAATTTTTTTAAAAGGACACATAAGAACATACATGTCTCAATAGAGTTACTGGTCACAGGATTGAACTCTGGTCATGAAAGCCAGGTGACTTACTTTCTGGCTTCCATATTGCTTTGTAGGAGAAATGATACAATGATGTCACACAAGGAGGGAAGCCAGACACGAATCTGGTGGAGGTGCGGTCAGTCGTGACCAGCTCTGCAAAGGGAGCAGTGGGCGAGGCTGTGGTCTCTCCCAGGTGACCTCCATCGCCATGCAGAGCTGCTCTCACTTCTCGGGAAAGGCCAGCGTCAGGTATACATAGGAGGAAGCCCAGGTGTCCCCAGAGAACAGTAGTCTTGTTAGGACTGGAAAACCGTCTTATGGCCAGGTGGTCCCTGGTCTGAAGGAAAAATAGGAGCTGAGTGTGAACTTCTATCACTCAGAAGATATAATCCACCTCTCCCCTCCCGCTCCTGGATTGGTTGTGAGGACAGTGCTTTGCGACAGCGATGGAGCCTTGTCTGTCCTTCCGGGCTAGATTTCTTTTTTCTCTTATTCCTCCTGTTTCGTTTTATCCACCATTTTTCGAGTTGCAGGGCTCACCCTTTCCTGAAGAAATCATCTCTTTTCCCAGCTCCGCACCTTTGTCCTAGATGGAGGCATGTCTTTCCTCCCATCCCCAGTGGGGGGTGTTCCGTCCATTCTCCAGAGCCCAGTGCTGCACCGTCTCTTTTCCTCCCCCTCCTTCCCCTTGCTGTTACCTGCTCCCATCTTGTGCTCCCACCGCCCTTGGCCATCCCTCCGTGTCATTGTGTGCTGTGTGGTGCACCTGTCTTCCCTACTACACCTTAAAGTCAGGAGTCTGCCTCCTTCCTACCAGCACCTCACGCAGCAAGTGCTGCGAACTGCAGGCACCTGACAGATAGTGAATGCATGACTCCAAAACCCAGCTTTGCCTCCTGGCTGTAGCTCAGACCAGCTGTGTGATACTGACCAAGACACTTGACCTCTCTGAGACTCAGCTTCCTCCTTGAAGACTGGGATGCTGTGTAGCTCAGAGGAAACATACACCTGAAGGTGCTGCCCCGGGGGTGCAATGACCTGTCACTGAGGCTGGATGGAGGACGGCATCCATCGTCAGCTACAGGTGCCTGCTCCATCTGTACTAGCCACCTCCTGGACAAAGGCTCCAGTGTCCTCCATGACACCAGCTTTCTCCAGGGCCTGTGCAGGTTTCCTTCCTCTACCCTGAATCAGGGTGATTCTTTTTTTGTTTTGTTTTGTTTTTTGAGACAAAGTCTGGCTGTCTAGGCTGGAGTACAGTGGCGTGGTCTCGGCTCACTGCAAGCTCCACCTCCTGGGTTCACACCATTCTCCTGCCTCAGCCTCTCGAGTAGCTGGGACTATAGGCGCCCGCCACCTCGCCCGGCTAATTTTTTGTATTTTTAGTAGAAATGGAGTTTCACTGTGTTTGCCAGGATGGCCTAGATCTCCTGACCTTGTGATCCACCCGCCTTGGCCTCCCAAAGTGCTGGAATTACAGGCATGAGCCACTGCACCCGGTCAATCAGGGTGATTCTTAAAGGACAGTTTCAGGAACATACAGGGGGCACTTGGGTAATCTTGGTCAGTAACTGACCCTTAACTATGATCCACGTAAACATCTATAGTTAGGGTTTTTCTTGGCGAGGCTTGGCAAAAAGTAAAGAATTCCCCAAGTGTGAAGCCTCATTCATTCACTCATTCAACAAATAGTTATTGAGCACCCACTATGTGTTAGGCCCTGGGCTACGTACTGGGAATACAGCAGAGGCAGACCTGGCTTCTGCCCTCATGGAATTTGTAGTCATTCATTTACTCACTCGGTGACTTTGGACACCTCCCCTCCTCTCTCCGGGCTTTAGATCTCTGAGATTCTCTCTGCGTCTGGGATGTAAAGACAAAGTAAAGCCTGAAATCTGGAAAGCAGAACTGTAAGATCTTTGTTTTTGATGGGTGTGTTAGGTTACAAAAAGAACTATGTTCATCTCAAATTCTGACAATGGACACAGATGTGGGGGTTTCCAGCAGGTGAAGGGTGGGAAACCACCTGACTGCATTTTTCTTCATCACTCACACCTCTAACAGTAAGACCAAGTGGGCATGGCGGAGGCATTTGAGGGCTTTGTGTGTAGGCTGTGGCCCATCCTCCTGCCTTGCCTCCACCGCATCCCTCACGCGCAACTGCTGCAGCCTCACCAGGCCACTCCCCGTCTTTTGGACAAAGCCTGCGTGCTCCAGTCCCGTCCTTCTTCTTGGCCAGTTTCTTCAGGCTGGAGTGCCTTTTTTTTCTACTCATCCTTCAAGGCTCAGTTCACACACCACTGTCTCACGCAGCCCTCTCTCAGATGGCTTCATACAAACTGACTACCCGGACAACAGGATGGTCACATAGCTATTAGCAGAGTTTACATTCATTTTGCCTTCATTATAGTTCCTTTTTCTTGTATATCTCTCTCTGACTAGACTATGAGCTATTGCAGTGAAAGGGCTGTGTCCTTGATCACTGTCACCCTCCAGTGACCTGCAGCCAGGAGGTGTCAGTGATTGCCATTTGAGTTGAACTGTTTATTGACATCCCGTGTTGTCCTGCCAAAAATCCCAATCCTAGAAATGGTGGTTTGCACCTGTGCACCCAGCTACTCAGAAGGCTGAGGTGGGAGGAGGATTGAGCCCAGGAATTCGAGGTTACAGTGAACTATGATAACGCCACTGCTCTCCAGCCTGGGCAACAGAGTGAGTCCCTTTCTCTAAAAAAGCAAACAAAGAATGCTGAACCCAAGGTCTTGCCTCAAAATCCATTCCCCCTTCCGCCTCCAACACATATACCGCAACAGAATGATGCAGCTATTGTGATTGCTAGGAGAAGGGCTTTGGGGGGTGCCAGTCTCCTATTTGCAGAAACACCCGCTCTTTCTGAAGAGCTACGTCAGTAACATGGTGGATTTTCCTCAACTTAAGAGTCTGATCATAACACATTCATGGAAACTAGAACCAGCACACGAAACCATTGGCTTATGGCCCTAAGGAAATAACTCTATGTCCAGAAAATGCCATTTTACCACGTTGCCAACAGCTTTGCCTGTAACATGGGCACAGGCTGGGACATCAGAGAGGAGCTGGTTCCCTTGGTGGGTGGGTTGGGATGGGCTAAATTATGTCACAGTAACGTACAACCTCGTCATTTTAGTGGCTAGCATGACAAAGTTTTATTTCTCATGCTACATGTCTACTGTGGCTTTCCAGGTGGCTCAGAGTTCTCAGAGCCGCTGGCAGATGGAGGCTCCACCCTGTGGGATGTCACCAGTGGTTATGGCTGGGGAAGGACACACTGGAGCCTCTCGTACCAGTTCACTGCTCTGAGCCACAAGAGACATTTGTCATATCTGCCCACAGCCCACTGGCCCTGTGACATCCTACCACCTGCCCAGAAGGAAGAGAACCAGAATTACTGCTGAGCAGCCCCTCTGCGTGTGGGTGCAACGGCATCTTACGACTCTCAGAAAGCTACTCTAGCGGCCATCTACCAGTGTCACGCAGTGTCATGCTCGGTCATGGCCTGGAAGATCAGAGTCGCAGAGGGATAGGACCTGGGGTGTCTCTGAAAATAACTGCCTGGTTTCACTCCCCAGTTTTACGTCTCTTAAGAGGCAGAGTGATGCCTAGAATGAGCCCTGGACTGGGAGGGCGGGTCCCAGGTTTGAATCGGGGCCTTTGTTCCTCCTCTGCTGTATCACTTTGGTCAGATTTCTCCTTCTGAGAAGTGGAGCCAATTAGGCGATCTCTGGTACGCTGTAATCTCTGAAACTTTTCCTCATATGTTTCCAGCAACTTCCAACCTAAGGTCTGATAGACCCAGGGTTACTCTGCAAGCTAACTGTCATATCAGTCTCATTGTCTGGTAAATCTAATTTTAACCACTTAATACTTATTTTAGGCTTCACAAATTATTTTAAAAGAAAAGAAAGGGGCATAATAAGAAGAAGTCTTCAGTTACAATTTCCCCGAAGAGCCTGGATCTGGGATTCCTGCTTCACTGCTTTCTGGCTGTATGGCAGAGAAGATGAGGATGGCCCTGGAGTCAGACAGGACCAGGGTCCAAGCCCCAGGTCTTCCACTTGTTAACAATGTTCTCAGCCTCAGCTTCCTTACCTGTACCATGGAGATGGCAGCATCTCCTTGTGGGCTTGTTTTAAGGATCCAGTGAGAGGAAGCATGCAAAGCTCTTAGAACAGAGCCTGGCACTGGTGAAGAGTCAGTGAGCGGTAGATGGTATTATTACCATCCTGTCCCTGTCTCCC